AACAAAATGAAAAAATTATAATACGAAAGAGATAAAACAAAAAGGATATAATCAAAGTTGGTGAGTTAAATTTGACTGATATTTTAAATGATTGGCATTGCAGAGATAGGATAGAAGAAGATTAGTTTCATTTCAATAACATTTTCATAGTCTTAAATCTCGTTCTCGTTGTGATCGTGGGCTGTTACCGACATGAATATTAATGCTATGCTCTGGCTGGCATAGTGCTTTTCTACCATAGAAACATTAGTATTATAATAATGAGCTTTCGAACGGCTCAGTCACATCTCCGCGAACGTTGTGACGTTACATTGATGATTTATCTTTATCCCTTTATTTGTTCTTACGACATACGAGCACGTTCTCACCATCACGTATCTCATGAATTTTATTAACGACGAACTATGATAGCTTTGACGCTTTGAATTACTTTAATACTTACAATCAAGATCAAATTTTATGATTTATTTTTTTTTTATTCGACTAACCAATCCTCGTGTATACTAATAATTAATAGATACGATTAATAATTATAAATATTTTATCAAATTTTGCATATACATTTTGCATGTGTATACATTATTTCGATATTATTTATATGAGATAATTAATGAAAATTTATTATGAAAATAATGATTTACATGTGGGTAAATAATTTAATTATGTATTCGAAGCGTGATACAACCGCATTTAAATATTGCAAACAAATGTCCAATCATTTCTATGATTATTAATTTCTATAACTATACGTTTATATACGAAACACTGTTTCTATTTGGTTTTTTAATTGCTTTATAGAAAAAATGTTTTAGTCCAAATGGATAAATAAAATTAATACAGACCAGTGTTTTAAATTTTGGTCAATATTGAAATTGATATACACAGGCGATGTAAAAATAAAACTACAAATTTACTCTTTTCGATTTTTTTTTTTTTTATACGAATTTACCTTTAAAAATGTTTTAATTACAATTCTCTCACAATCAGTTAAAATGAATAGAGATCGGTAAGCGATTTTCCAAGAGTGTGTGTATGTGTTTGCTGGATTAACCGAGATTTACCGAATTATCTTTCCGAATCAGGATAATTTGGTAACATTTCGAAAGTACTTTTGGATAGGACGGTTATTTTAATTTGCGGAAATAAATTCGAAGTAACAATTAAACAAACTCCTCTTTTTTATTCTTGCCAGTAAATAGGCTAGTAATTGTTTACAGAAGATTAGATACATAAAACAGAGAAAGAAAAAAAAACACAAAAAGAATAGAAAGAGAGAATGAAGAGAAGAGGAGAGAAGGTATACTAATTTTTAGAGGAGAATATATGTTACAGAGAGATAGAAAGAAAACGAGAGAAAGATAAATAGAGAGAGAGAGAGAGAGAGGGAGAGAGAGAAATATATTCTCGAAGGGTGGAGAAGGAAAATTTGTTCTGTTAATTCGAACGATGTTTATTTTCCCTAAGGCAACAAAGTGAACGGTGTGTGGAATAAGAGAGGGAAAGAGAGTTAGAGAGAGAGTGTGTGAGAGAGAGAGAGAGAGAGAGAGAGAGAGAGAGAGAGAGAGAGATAGAAAAGCAGGGAAGTAACACGACAACGCGTTAATGAGACACGGTAGATAATCGAGTTTGAAGTTTTTTAGCTGAAACTACTCGTCATTTTATTGAATTACTGCGGATACGCGTTCGTATTTACTATGCACGTGTGGTGATACTCGAATACTAATACGATGGGAATAAGGGTGATAAATATTGTTGCAAATCGACGTTATTATCGTTATACTACCGCTAAATTGTTTAATTAATCTTTGTTATCATATTTATTATAATTGTCTTGGTAATTACGACAATGGCCTAAGTCAAATATTTACACAAATTGATTTGATCAATAATTTATCTATATCATAAAATTCTCTCCTTTTTTATTTTTTTTTTATTACTAATTCATCATCTTTCTTTTCAATTATTTTCTATTTCGTGCATATTTTAACGTACTTTCACGTAGAATATTTTTTTTTTTAGACAGAAATCTATAACGTTGATATATCGTCTAATTAAATAAAACGTGGTAGTGTCGGTCTCAGTTCGTTTCAAATTTCATAAAAATCTCAATATTTCAAAAATGTCGATACAAATAAAATCTGTAATAAAAGAAATCGAGATATTGCGAAAAGCATTCGTACTTCTCTCAATCATTCTATGTCTAAAACAATATATTAAAAAATTTATAAACATTTTATCCAGTGATATATATATATATGACAAAAAAATATTATAGTTAAAGTAATATTATTAAATAAATAATATATTATATCATACTTTCGATTTCTTTTCATTCAAAAAGATAATTTTCCTTTTCGCAAATGATTTAATTATTGAATATTCATCTATTTGATGAAAATAAAGTTTTATTGGCAGTTTTGTTTATGGTATGGAAATTAGTTGGATACATAGTAGAAGATAGTGCTAACAAACTTTAAACAGCTTCGTTCATCGTTTAAGAAAATAGAACTGCATCATGTATCGTCGGCTGTCGATAACTAAAGCGCTCGTGCCAGCAAATATTTCAAAGATATTGTCGCGACACACGACAGCGTGCTTATCAGTGACCCTTTTTGCACTCTTCTTCAACAGAAAGATATCTATCATACTTAAAAAATAAACACGATCGCTGTATATATATATATTCTCCTTTACCGATAATAATTTTCTATCCCCAAGTCTCTAATCCCTTAGTTTTGAATTACCTCTTATTCAAAAACTATTTATTATACAATCATTTTTACAATGTAATTCTCTCGATAAGACATTCATAAAAATCATATTTAATTACGCGATGAACTTATTATTAAATTCTAATTAAAATTATTCGCGAAATTTTAGAAAGTTGAAGTGAAACTTTAAAGAAAAATTAGGGTAAAGTCTCATTTATTATTAGAAATGATATTAATTGATCACCATTCATCATAGCGATTGCATAAGACATTCACAAAAGGTCGTTCCTAATTTCAATCAACTTATTCATTCCTGTTTCCCATCGTGAGTTAAATCAGGTCTCTAATTGCGGTTCATTTGGACCGGTTTATGCTTAACCACGGTTACACGTTACGTGTAGGTAATAAGGTACACATTACGCAAATATTCAAAGGTTTATGTGTATGCGTATATCCTATTTATGATTGACATTAGACAAGCTTAAGTATACATGCATCTGTTGGGTATTATTAAGAATATACACGAACGTATTACCTATCGATAATTCACTTTGAAAATATTTACCTAAACAACTATAGCCCCTTGCACAGGTATTCAATTCTACAGAGAAATGCATATAAAAATAAAATGGTTCATTATTTTCGGATTATTAGCACTTCGTTCGACGAAATCAACGCGGCCCGATGATGCACGTGTTAATGCATTCAATATGTCCAACTAATTTTCTATAACTTCATTATCGTATGACGAAATGAAATTTTTGTTATAATATAATGGACATATATTATGTCGTCAAATGTTATAATAATTAAGTTGAACTCTATAATCATTAGGAATTTAACACATACGTACGTCAATTAGTTTTTCATTTATTTTCGTTAAAATTAAGGTAACATTAGAATTTTCTTTATATATTTTAATGATAGATTAATATATTACTGAATTAAGCAAACCCATATAAAAATATTGTCTAGTTTAAACTCGAATTCTTTAACAACACCAACATTATTATTCCTAAATAAAAAATACTATCACGTATAAGTATAGAAAAATAATGTATCTAATATGAATATACGATTATTTATCTTATTTATTTGTCAAATTGTTACGGTTAATATGATACTTAATATTATTCGATTTGTATACTTTTTAAATCATTTAATTATTTCATTGAAATGAATATTTGAATCTCACTAATTTGAACTAATATTTGCATCGTTAGTCACCGCTGATTATTATGATATATGTTACAATTTTCCGTTCATGTTTGAGTGATTTTGAATATAACGATGATCAGTATACATGTATACAGAAAAGTGGTAATTTCGTTCGAAGGATACAAGTTTTAATTTACCATTCGATCTTTTTTTTCTCTTGAAGAAAAATGTAAAAAATAATTGAAAAAATAAAAGATGAATGAAAAGGGACGAAAAACGGATGAATACATATATAGATATATTGTATATATATATATGTGTGTGGGAAGAAATTAAGTAAAGGATTATTAATATATAGTTGAATATAATAAAATCCTTCCGGATAGAATATAAAAGGCTTTTCAATTTATAGAAATAAATGCAAGCGTCGTCTACGAGCTACTGAATGAGAGAGAAAGATAAAAAGAAAGAGAGAGAGAGAGAGAGAGTGAAAAATTCCAAAGAATATTATGCGATATTTCTATGTGCGTAATTCTAGAAGAATCGCGTGAGAATATGAAATGAAAATACCTTCAACGTTTTTTAATTTCGATCTCCGACTCTCGAAGAATAAGATGAAGGTTCTATGGAATTTATCCTATCTAAATTTTTACGATGCATTGAATAACACGTTTCTTTTTTTTCTGTTTTTAATAATAATCGAATAAAACGATATTAATGTGTTTGTACATTATTTTTTTTAAAATACGTCTCGCTTTTGAAACAAGAAATTTTCGTATAATTAAACGCCGACAAAATTACATGTCATTACTTTTCCTAATACAACCTAATATCTCAATATTTATTCAATCAATATAAGAGATTATTATTAAACGTGTTGATTTAATTATATTATTTAATGATTTATTTTATATTATCATAAGTGGGGTAAAAGAAAATTATCTGAAATTTCGCAAGAGTTAACGAGTTAATATTAGCTTGATATACTGAAGTATAGAGATAAAAAGGAAATATAATGTATGAGGAAAGAAAAGAAAAAAAAACAACAACAACACAAGCGCGAAGATAAAATGCATATATATAGGGGGAAAGAAAAAAAAGAAAAAAAAGAGAGAGATAATGAAAACTCACCAGCGTGCCTGTAGAGAAATGTCAGTAGATGCAAAACGGCGTAGAGCCACTTTCCACGGCGGTCCTCCATCCTGCCGTTTCACCTTTCCTCCCACCTTCTTCCTTCTTCCCGTCAAAATCTCCGGATATATCTGAGTTTCCTCTTCGCCGAGTCAGAAACAAATAAAGGAAGATAGAGAAATAAAAAGAAAGAAAGAGAGAGAGAGAGAGAGAGTTAAAGGTATGAGCGAGTGAGTGAGCGAGTGAGTGAGTGAGTGAGTGAGTGAGAATGAACGAGAAAACGAAAAAATGAATGATGAGAAAGAAAAGAAAATATAAAAATGAAAAAGTGAGAGAGAGAGAGAAAAATAGAGAGAACTGGGTGAGAAGAGGAGAGAAGGTGGGTGGGGGTGGAGAAAAGAGACGCGTGAAAATTGAAGAAAATCGCGTCTTACTTTCCGCTAGACGCGTTTATTGTCAGTCACTCGCGCGACGACGTACTTGGTAAATAACACTGTCACATACACACGGAGCTACACGCACACACATATATATATATATGTACATATAAATATATATCTATATATATATATATATATATATATGTATATATCCACGAGAGAACGGAGTGACACGCGCGTACACTATTTTCCTCCTCCCCCTCCTCCTCCTCGTCCTCCTTTTCCTCCTGCGCTGTAGCCCGTTCACCCTCAACCCCCTTTTTCACCCCCTTCCTTCTTCTCTATCTACACCTTCTTCTCGGCAGTTTAACGCTTATCTGCTTTCCCGTGTTCGTACCTTTTCCTTGGTTGTTGTCGTCGTCGTCGTCGTCGTTTTGCGCGATATTACGTGCGATATTCCGCGTCTTAGAAAATGTATCTCCTTTCTCTCTCTCTTTCCTCCCCTTCTCCCTTTTTCCCTTTCTCCCTTTCTTCCGTAAACCGATTCTTTATTTCTCTCTCAAATTTTCTTTAACGACTTTTTCCGCTCGAGCTGGATAAAACACAGTCAGATAGATAGGTAGATGGATAGACAGACAGACAGACAGACACCCACGTATGTACTTAGACAAATCAGAGATTGTGAGGAAAAGTATAATAAAAAATAAAATAGATAAACGAATAGAGGTTTGGAATATATGGATAATATAATACTCTGATGGAGAGATACAGTTATCCTTTTTTACTTCTAACTTTTTCTCTTTCTTTCTCTTATACATACACGCAAAGACACACAATACACATGCGAATTTCAAGACGATCTTACGTATCACCCTACACACGAGTGATATTCGTAATATAATTTTATACACGCGTTTCTGCTCTTTTTTTTTTCGGCACGTGTCCTATAGTACGTGTAAGAAAATCTTAGAAAAATCTTACGAATTTTCTTTCCACCTGTGAATCTACTAAACTACGTTTATATATATATATATATATATATATATATATATATATATCTTTTTCTTTAGTTCAGTGTTTCTAAATTAAAATCAAATTGAAACGAGTTCACGAAGGTATTACATCCATTTCTGGGGGAATCCTATAAANTATATATATATATGTATATCTTTTTCTTTAGTTCAGTGTTTCTAAATTAAAATCAAATTGAAACGAGTTCACGAAGGTATTACATCCATTTCTGGGGGAATCCTATAAATTATCACCTACGTTCACAGTAGGAGGATCGATACGTATGCCAAATTACCCGTATGAGGGTCCTTGGAATTGCAAGAGGAGAACGTGTCATACGTGTATCTATGTAACATGTGTAAGAGATAGACAGATAGATAAACGAACTGAGAGAAAGAGAGAGAAATAGATAGATAGATAGAAGATGGGATAAAGGGATACCGGTCACACGAGAAAATATCTCTGGTGGTGCAGCTGTTCTTTGTCGTCAATTCGATTTAATAATAATAATACCAAAAAAAATAAAAAACACACAAATAAAAAAAAGAAACAAGCCGATGCGAACTTTTTGCACACAATTCGAATTACCACCTCTTCGTATTCTTCTTGATTAGAAGAGTTGATTTCGTAATATTCGTGTTATTCGTCGTAACCGATGTCTTTGTAAAAGTAATTCTGATTTTAGTCAACGTTCTCGTTCTCGTCGTTGTCTTTTTTTTCTTCGTTTTCGTCCTCGAAGAAGCACCTCTCGTCATCCTCCTCGTACACGGCACTCGCCTTGACCTCGCTCCATTAAGCACGGATCGTGGTATACATTAATCGATGCCAGATATAATCCCACGGTTTCCTACCTTCTTCTTATTCTTATTCTTCTTTTTATTCTTTTTTTTTTCTATCTAATTCCCTTAGCCTCTTTTTTCACAAAGTTTTTTTCATTCTTTCGATAAGCGTACTTCTTCCTTCCTTCTCTATCTTTATTTCCTTTAAAGATTCACCCACGCGTTTATACACATACACAGAGATATACACCGATGATACACTTACGTCAAAACGTCTATCCTTATTTTCCTGTCTATTTATTTCATTCCTTTTATCTAACACCTAAGAGTCATTTCTATAAAAAGATTTCACTATTCTTCTATTTTCTAATCTTCAGTTATTTTTCTTTCTTCTTTTTTGGGATTATCTGAAACATAGACAGAGAAATTGTTAGTTGTAATAATTATATATAATTGCATTGGAAAATTATATAAAATTAAAAAATGCATGGTTTAATAAAATAATTTGCTGTATCTTTTACTGGATGTCAAAGTTTTCCTGAATTTTTAATTGGATCGTTTGCTTTTTTCTTCTTCTTTTTTTAATACATAAAGAAATATTTTTTTATATTTTTATCTTTTGAAACGATTTAAAAATATATATTATGCTGTCGTATAAATCGATACTGTAATAAAAAATGTTACGGTAAAAATAATGAAACGTTTAAAATTGTTCAATTAATTAATGAAAATATTTTTCTTGTTAAGCTTTTCGATGCAAATATTTTATTTTACGATTCGGAAGAAATAAATTTTATTTTTTTTCCGAAAACGTATGTGTTATATTAAATTGTTATCTTTCTCGTAGACACATACACATTTATGCATTAAATTCTATTCCCACTAGTTATTAAGTGCTAATTAATCGATCGTCTTACACATTTAATCAACACGCACAAAAGTACTGAACTAGTTTTGTACAAATCGATATAATATGATCATCATCTAATACATTTTCTAATTTTTTTTCTAAATAAATAATATAAGAATTTTCTTTGTTATAATTTCGTGTAAATGACAGAGTAGATTTTCGTCGAAGAACGAACACGATTCACAATTTTCTATTTGCATTTTAAAATGTTTCACAGATGAAAATTTTTCAAGTATAATAATATAAAAATTCTCTACTGGGATCTAATTAATTAGATCTGACAAACATAATAATATCGTTCGTATTCCTATCTGTGTCCGTTTTAAAAAATAAATGAAGATCAAATTGTTCCACGTTTTACCATGAGTTCCTGCAACCTATCCCACACCCCTATCCGCCACCACCATTCTCTCAACTAACTCGAATCTATGCAATTTATGCTAATGAAACAAATTTATAATACACGCGTTATATTAACCGACGATTTTCCTTTCCGCTTGATGCTCATTTGTTATATGCAATTTTCACGATCGCATTTGCTCGGAATATATCGATTTGTGAATTAGTGGAGGAGGAGGAAGGGATGAAGAGGAGAGGGTGGGTGGGTGATGAGCGTGCTTATATGGCGCGCGCGCGTTCGATCACATACGTAAAAGTAACATGTTATACGTAGTTGTGTAGAATGAAAAGGACACGATTATTGGACTGCGAGTGCAACGTTCTACTTTCCAAGAGATAGAGAAAAAAAAAGAAGAAGAAGAAGAAGAGGGAGAGAAAGATAAAATAAAACTTGATTTCATGGGCCGAGAAGTTTTCTCGGGGGGTGGGGAATATTTATTAAAAAAAAAAAAGAAAGAAAGTAAAATAGTATAGTAAAAATTTATGGAATTTTTCTGAAGAATGTTCATTGATATATATATATATATTAGTAGAGATATAATGTTATGCAATATTTTTCAAATACTAATACAAAACGATATTAATAATTTCGATTGCAGAAGTAAAATTGAACGAAGATAAAAGAAATATAATATCGAATTCCGAATTTTAATTGAAAATTAAAAACCGGTAGTAGTAGTAGTACGTTTCCTGATAATAAAAAAAAAAAAAGAAACACGAAAAACCGATAAAAAGAACAATGTGTGATAATAATTAATAAAAAGAAAAAAAGAACGAGTTAAAAAGAATAACTAAATAAACTCAATCTAATCTAACTAATATAAGTAGATTATTATAACGAATTACGATGAGAGAGATATTATTAAATGAACAAAATTAAGGAGCAGAGGTACAAAAAAATGGTGGATAAAAGAAAAGTTCTTTTCGTAGGTCAAACTGTATCGAGAAAAACTCGTTACGTTAAAAAAGAAGACTAAACTTAAGATTGACCAATAAAGTAAACGGAAACGAGATAACGATAATAAGATTATAATATTCAAAATGGAAGAGTAAATTACATATATATATATATGCATTCATAGATAAAATGTTAAAAATTTGAATCTTTATTTTTCTCTTACTCGATAATATTAAGGAAAAAAATAAAAAAATGAGAAATAAAAGAAGTTGTTTTGGCATTAAGAGGGCAAAAAGAAGAGTGGTGGTGGCGGAAAGGTAGGAGGAAGGATTCGGTAAAGATAGTCGAGAGGAATTCTCGAGGGTGGTGGTTGGTGCGAGGGTACAAATCCTGGGGTAGTTAAGGCATCTTAAACGTCCTGTATATATTCCTCCAATTTTGCACGAACGAGATGTAATTGGGTCTTGCTTTTACAGTTCTTATACTCTTTCACGAGAATAGAAAAGTATCATCCACGTATACATATTTTTAGGATAGATAGAAAAACACGTGGTAGAAAATTTCTGTCCATCTTTCATATTTGTTTGTCGTTTAATATTATTTAATCAAATTCAATAATTATATAACATATTTTATTGTTATCGTTATAAAACATTGAATTTATTTGATTAACTTGGATGATATATTTCGCAATAACAAGTTACAATGCAAATTTGAGTAAATGTTATATGTAACTTACGTAATATTTGTTAAGCTATTAAAGTATCTTTATCACGATTGAAGAGTGACGTGTGTCAGGTTGTACGATACGAGGCATCGATTATCCAAATTCCATTTTACGCCCGAATAATGTCTGACCTAACTCCTACTGAGTTAAATGTAGTTCGACGATGCGTTATGCGCCCTAATAGAAAAGATTTTCTTCTAAAATTGGGAATGAATGAAATCTTGATTGAATGAATTTTTCCGTTAAAATCATTAACGAAAATTTAAACATCGAAATGTTAAAAGAAAAGAATATGAAAAAGAACTTTAATCTATCGACAAACTTTTCTCCAACGTTGTGTATATTCCCATGATTAAGTAAAGAGCAAATATCTAATAGTAAAATCGAGTGATTAACTTATGTGGCTGCTCGTTGAAAAAGGTTCACGATAAAAAAGCTTGAAAGGAAAGAAGCCAAGTACTTACTCGAAGTACTTGCGTTATCACGTGGTAAAGAAAGAAAGAAAGAAAGAAAGAGAGAAAAAGTGAGAGAGAGAGATAGAAAGATATTTCAGTAAAAAGTAAAAGAGAGGTCAAAAAAGGATCTATTGAAGAACCCGAATAAGAAGAGAAGAGACAAACGAGAGTGACTTCGATTACGCGGGAAATAATGTTCTTTCAAAAGAAATGTTCTAATACTATTCGGGTTACTAGACGACATAGAACAAATCCACGAGTTTCGATTCGACACAATTCGACCCTTTTCCACGATTACACTCTCTATCTAATTATAAATTTAGAAAGAGAGAACTTACGGGGGAAAATTTAGAGAAGGAGGGGAAGGAGGATGAGGAGGAGGTGGAAAGGGGGGAGGAAATGTAAGAAGAGGGTTGGATTAGAATGAGTTCTTAAACGACTGTAGTTTAAATGTTCTCTCACGAATTCGCGATGGAACGTGTCACCCTTGAAATTTTGGTAACGTCGAACCCAACGAATGTAGGCGTGACAAACGTTATGTAACGTTAATTGCAAGTAGTCGAACGAACAAGAAACGAACTGTCATCTTCAATTAAAGTTTTAATGATCATTGACTCGTCGAGTGATAGAAAGATTCAGAGAATGGAAAGAGAAAAAGAGAGAAAAGGAAAGAAAGAGAAAGATACTTTTCTTTGCAAAGAAAAATGTAAGAAAGAAGGAAAGAAAGAAAGAGAGAGAGAGAGAGAGAGAGAGAGAGAGAGAGAGACGATTTATTTCTGTAAACGATGGGATCCTCTTTGCGAGTGTGTGTCTTCTCTTTCGACACAAATGGAATCTTACGTTCGATATGATATATGATACAAGAATAGGTTTTCTTTATTTTTCTTTATTTTTCTTTATTTTTTTTTATCTTTATTTCTTCATTTCTTTCCTTTCTTGTGAAAAAGATACGTATATATATATATATACATCGCGATATAAAATTATAGAAGGAAAGATTGAAAAATATTGTAACGAGAAAATAGAAAAAAGAAAAAAAAAAAAAGAGGAAAAATGTTTCTGATAAAGTATATATTTTTTTAACGATACAAAAAATAAAAGAAAAAAAAAACAAAAATAGGAAAATAGAGAAATGGTAAACGTTAAGAGTAGCGAACAAATTTGTTACAGGAATATATATATATATATATATATATATAAAAGAAAAAATAGTAATGTTAAGAGGGGTAGAAAAAAATCCTGCTGAAAAATCTTTTTTATATTCGAATAAAAATCGGTACGGTTATCTCCAATTTCGTATTTTTTCATCACAAATTATATCGGTCTTGGGTAAAATTGTACAATCTATATATTCGAGAAAAATAATAAAACAAAAATGGTCGGGTTATAAAACGAAAGTAGAAAAAAATCTCAAAAACTACGAGAGAGCACGATTGTCTCTCCCTTTCGTTATGTTTTTATTCTTTTTTTTTTTCTTTTTTTTTTCTGTTTTTCATCACGAATTACGAATTATCGAATCGAAGATAATATCCTTTTCTCGACGAAACGTTTGGGTAACAGGAGACAACATAAAACCGGATTTTCCAAATAAAAACTTGAGAGCTGTTCGTGTTACTGCTTTGAGTAGTAGTATGTCGTAGTAGTAGCCAATAGCACGAACGCGCACTTTTATCCACGAAACTGACCAGTCCAACGTAAAAGTTGAACCAAAGTTATCGATCTTTCTTTTTCTCTTTCTTTTCTTATTCTTCTTCTTCTTCTTTTTTTTCCTCTTCCTCTTCCTCGTTTTCTTCTTCTTTATACTCAAAGAAATAAAATCCAAGATAGTACTCGTGTCAAAGTTGTCCCGTACCAGTGAGTATCCCTTTGACTTTGTTTTCGAAGAAAATCAATCGTTTCGTAATGTTACATTTTATCGTCACGATATTATTTATCCTATCAATGATTACTTAGAAACTATATACGTGTGTTAGTACATATGTCTATGTATGAGTGTTTGTGTGTTAAAACAGAAATGAAATAAGGAAAAAAAAACCAGGGGGAAAATGATGATTAAGTTTCATGAAAAATTCACTCATGAGTAATAACTTTAAGTAACGTTAAAGTTGCTCGCATACTATCGTAAACAAGCTAGAAAGTAACGCGAGCTGAGAGTTAAGTCGTAACCCTTTACGAGATCGAAGTATTTCAAACTTTAATCGGGATACAAAACTAAAGAATCGTCAATATTATTTTTACGATCTCCGAACTGTATTAAAAGAAGAAAAGAAATAAAAAAAAAAAAAAAACAAAAAAAAAGATTCCTCGCAAGTTTATTAATTTTAAGATTAACAATATAAATCAACGTGTAGATAAAATTAATAGCTCGGACAAAATATTGAAACAATTGGTATTAATACAATTGAACGATTTAATACCACGTGGCTATCTATATAACAACACCCCTTTTGTCGAAAAAAAAAAGTTCTTAATACTTGTCTAACGATCATAATATTATATGGTATATCAATTATTATATTATATATCGTATATTGAATATATTTACGTTTTTATCTATTTCTATTTCTTTTTCTTTTCTTTTCTTTTTTACTCGACAATTAATTTCCCTGGAAGATGAGATTTAACGTTAGAGATGATGATAATAATGGAGAAAACGATGATTGTCACGCGTTAATAACGAGAATATTTATATCGAACATATACATATACATATACATATACATATATATAAATGTTGGTTATAGTAATCGCGCGCGAAATGTTGTCTTCGCGTTTGCGGCTTGTCCGCGACTGAGAGACCTGTCGGACCAACCCCGTCTGAGTTTCCAGGGTTGGCCGTTGCAGCGCTGCCACCCTTATAACCGAATCCCATCTCTCTTTTCATCCCCCTCTTGTACTCTTACTAACCCACCTCCTTCCATCCCCCATCTCTGATCCATCCCTCCCCTTTCTATCCCTATCTGATGACACGTCTCATCGTTCGAGCACTGCTTGTTCTCCTTTTCTACGTGCGTCGTCGTTGGTACGTTCCTCTTCTAGACCAAAATAACCCTCCCCCTCCTCCTCCCACCCTTCCTCTTTCTTTCCGTCTTCGTCTTTTCCTCTTTTTCTTCTTGAATCACCCTTCCATCCTCTTCCCTTCCTTCGGGATTCCACGATTCCAGTTGAATTATCTGTGTTTTGGGACACGCGTTACTGTTAAATTATACTAACTAGCTTTCTGTGTTTGTTCTTTTTTTTTTTCCTATTCAAATGATATATAAATGAAATATTTTTAAGGGTGGGGTTTTTACTTCTTAATGATTTATTTCATTTCTTACAGTATCGCGTGAGACTCGTAACACTTTATGATACGTACGTTGTTGATCGGGTTGAACATAAAAAACACACGTGTCAGACTCGTGATTTTTCGTCAGGGCTTACGATGGTCAAAAGTGTTTTTATCTTATATATTGTGATCTCGATTTATTTTCAATATTATTTAATAGAATATTTTGTAGAGATTTTTTTCTACGTAGATTTTAGATATATCAATTTTATTTCAACACAATTGTATTTAAATCGTATTTAAAATTGTCATGAGATAAATGTTTGTTTCTAGAAAATTGTTTTTTTTTCTTTTGTCATATTAAATAAATTAAATATTATATAATAACGAACGTATCAAATGTTTTTCTTCTCTCTCTTTTTTTCAAGTACGCGTAGTTCGACAGATGCAATGAAAATAAATTGGGTTTTTTGTCGTGTTAAATAATATTTCGTTATATTCTATTTGGATAAAATATACGATCATTCTTAAATTATATTGTTATGCCGTTTTATTTCAGAAGAATTATACAAATTCACATTTGAAATGCATTTTTACTTTTGATCTAATTAATTTAAATTAATATTTTTGACATTTAACATAAAATATAATTGGACAAAGAACTTGTATCTACTAAATATTATAATTGTAATATTATAAGAAATAAAAAAAAGACAGCTTAAAAATTGTTTTGTTATTTGATTTTCCTGTCAAATTGGCAGACGTAGTAATAATAGACTCGTGCCTCTATTGTTTGATTTGTCTACTAAGGCCTATTGTTCTATTGTTAAATTTTCTATTGTTCCGATAATTTAACAAACTATTATTCCATTCGGACGGAATAAAAAAAAAGCCATAAGTTACGTCTTGAAAAAAACAGATTTATACTTTTCTCTCGAAATTTATAAAATCATGTTTTCTGTTTAACTTTGAAGTAATTCAATCATTTCTCGATTATTTATTTTCCCTCGTTTCAGCATTTACAAATAATATAGAATTTAATCAGAATTCGTTTAACTCATTTCTTATCGTAATCGATAGAAATTCATGCGCATATACATATATACACACACACACACACGCTCATATATAAATTAAAAAATATCACGTTTTCGTGTCATAAACATCAAACAGATTGAAAAACAAAGTTCCATTGGTTTGTAAAATAATTTTACGTTGCACTATATTATAAGCTGACTAATTACTGAATTAATAAACATTCGCAAAGACTTTATTTAAAATTCAGTTCGGCAAAGGTCGTGGTGTTTGATGTTTGATGGAAAAATATAAAGCAACTTTCGTATACGTTTTCTCGGAAACGTTGTTAATCTTCAAAACAAGAGAGACAGAAAATAAGCTTTCGGTGTTTGGTAGTTATTATTGACTTTTCAACAAATGCTTTTT